CAGCTGGGTGAGTCTGTTGATTTTTCTCCCTTAGCAGCTTGAATAGTGCCTTTTGGTATCATGAAAATTAGTCAGCAGGAAAGAAGCTTTCCAGTCAGTATCACCTTGATTTTTTCATGACCTATGACCAAAATGTGAAGCCCACCCTTCCCATCAAGGCTTATAAAACCCTCATGACTCGGCACATGCTGTTTGATCCTACCCTCATCACCTACATGCTCATCCTGGAGAATCCATGTGGAACTTGCTGCAATTTCTCAGAAACACTGTTCCCTCCCCCTTCTGTCTGAATATGGTCTCCATAAGTCATTGTTTCCCACCCCAGCTTTCTATATGGTTAATTCTCCTCCTTTTGGACTTGAGATAGCTATATTTATTACTCCCAACAGCTAGTAGCTCAGCCTAGCCCCTGGTTTACTGCCTTCCTAATGCACTTGCACAGCATATTAAGCAAACCATTATCACCTGATTGCCTATTTACTTTCCTATTTTTCACTTAAATTATGAATTATTTGTAGACAGCACCTGTGTCTTATTTCTCATTATGGCCTCATTTTGTACCATAGGGATCCATTACTTTTCAAGGTACAGAGATCAAGTGGATAAACACATGCATGAACAATGGCATTTAATTTCTACAGAGCTGATATGACTCATGTGATGCTTGTTTGTTCAAAGAACCTTTAATGAGATGCAGAAACCTTCATGAAATTATCCTGTCCACTGATCTCTGCTAAAAGGTGCAGACATGATATTGAGTGCTTTCTCAAGTATCACATAGGATTTTCTAATGATCTTGCTTGAGGACCAATATGTGTTTTAAAAACACCAAGTTAGGATTGGTAGCTTGTAAAACTAACAATGGACTATAGCCAGCATTTAAAACTATGGAAATATAGAGCAAAATTGAATTGTGACATAGAAAGTATCAGAGCACATCACCTATCATAAGGTAAGTGCTGTTCTGTGAAATGTGTTACAGTTATACTTACCCAACTACACACATACACACCCCATATGCATAACCCGCCAGAAAAAAACACATGGAAATGGTCACAATGCAGAAAATTTTTCTGGTTTTCTGATGGTGCTACAGTCAGTAAGCTTTTGAAGATCACTGCTGCAAACCCTCCTTCACAGCCCTGTGGCAAGGCTGCCAGGAGTGTGAGTGCGCAGGTGTTCTATGCTCTTTGGAAAGTCAGGCCTTTGCACAGTTTACATCTAGGTGTCTGTTTTTTGCTTCATTGGCTGATTCTTCAAAGTTTGGATATTTGGAGAAGATGAGTTTTACTTTTGATCTGCCTGTTTATATACCTGATTTGGGTAGGAAGGTATGTTCAGAGTATCACCTGCCTCTGAGGAAAATGACTGAACAGAATAGGGTAGGGGACAGCATCTTTGGAAGAGGCTACAGGCAGTGCTACCCTGAGAGCAAACTGTGACCTGGCCATCTGGTGGAAGCCAGGAGGAGCACATGTGTCTGATACATGTTATCTTCCATCTGTTCTTCTGTAGGCATTATCTGCGGCAAGACTCAGCCTCCCATTTAAGTTTTAAAAAATATTTTATTTATTATATTATTTTATGTGTATGAGTATATTCCCTGCGTGTGTAAATGCACCCATGTCTTGCAATGTGCAAGAAGGTGTCAAATCCCTTGGAACTGGAGTTGCGGATGGTTGTTAGTCGACATGTGAGTGCTGAGAACTGAACCCCAGTCCTCTACAAGAGCAGCCAGTGCTCTTAGCCACTGAGTCATCTCTCCAGCCACCTGTTTAAGTTTTACACATTATGTATTGAAGGAAATGATATTCTTGTAACACTTTGACTTTTTTCATTTATCAATATTTTATTTGTATGTTTTTCTTTGTTTGCAATTTTTTCTTTTTTTTTCCCTTCTTTTTAAAAAAATTTTACAAAAACTTTATTGAGAATTTCATACATGCATATAAGGTGTTTTGATCAAATCCATGCCCACTCCCTCCCCTCCAACATTCAACATTCCCCCCTCCGAAGAGGTAACCCTAAAATATTAGATACAAGCTCCCAAATACTTTTGACATTTTTTGGTCTTGGAACAGAGTGTGTTGCTAACAGGCCCAAGGGCATTTTGACTTTTAGCCAAGAAACTGGCTACATTTCTTTGGGGTCTTCTTACCCTAACTGCCTAGCCAATTCCTACCTCCTATTCTTATCACACCATCCTCTGAAGGGGTTACCCAAATTGCCAATAGGGAATAGGGACGCTGACCACTCTGGCTTCTTCCATGCTGAACAGGGACACAGGGTGAGGCAATTAGAGTACCCCTTCAGTGGGTCTATCTAAAATACTCCCAAATTGCATAGCTCTTGTCTCTAAGGGGAAAAGAAAGTCCTTGAATCATGAATAGGAAATGTGAAGGAGAAGTAAAGGCAAGAGTAATTAGCATTACAAGTTCTAGATCGGGAACTAGAAAAATGTCAGAACAGGGAAATTTTCAAATGTTCATATAAGAGTCCACTGGAATTTCTTGACAAGGGCTTCTAAAAGCATCCCTCTATTGGGTTCTTCCTCATCTTTCTTTTGTCTTCCAAGGCTGGACTAGTTGGCTGGGAAGAGTGGCTGGATGCTCAGGTGAGGGTCCAGTGACCCTGAAACTATTAGAAGAAAATATTGGCAGTAACTTACAGGATACAGGTGTAGGAAAGGATTTTCTAAATCAGACAGAAGTTGCTCAGGAATTAAGGTCAGCAATCAATAAGTGGGACCTCATTAAACTAAGAAGCTTCTGTACAGCAAAAGAAACAATCAAAAAAAGTGAAGCAAAACCCCACAGAATGGGAAAAAAATCTTCAACAGTGACACATCTGACAGATGTTTAACATCCAGAATATATAAAGATCTCAAAAAACAAAGACTTTCAGAAACCAAATGACCTATTAAAAGATGGGCTAAAGATCTAAACAGAGAGTTCTCAAAGGAAGAAATAAAGATGGCTAAGAAACATCTCAAAAAGTGTTCAACATCTTTAGTAATTAGGGAAATGCAAATTAAAACCACACTAAGGTATCACCTTACCCCAATCAGACTGGCTAGGATCAAGAGTACAAATGATACCAAATGCTGGCGAGGATGTGGAGAAAGGGGAACGCTCATTCCCTGCTGGTGGGATTGCAAACTCGTGCAACCCCTATGGAGAACTCTTAAAAAACTAAAACTGAACCTACCATATGACCCAGTTATACTACTCCTTGGCATATATCCAAAGGACTCATCCTATTGTTTACACTTTTTATTGAATTTTTGTGATTTTCATACAGTATAATTTGATGGCACTTAGATCTGGTCCCCACTCCACACCTCCCCCACTTCCCCCAATGTCCCCCACCCAATGTAATGAACTTTCATATTTATAATATGGCCTATGGAGTATGATTTGTGTTCCTCCCAATGTCCTTTAACATCTTTTTTTAATATTTGAAAGTTGGCAGATGGATCAGACAAACATTCTTTCCTATGGTGTTGTGATTGATTCTTTTCCCTTTGGAGGGATTAACTTTATTTGTAAAGAACCCATGAATAGTGCTAATAAATAAATGTTATTAAAGGCCTGTGCACACGTAGTGTATGTAAATAAATAGACTGTTACAGCAGAGGCAGGCAACCAGGGCAGCCACACATTCTGACAGTGTCCCTGGGTGTGCCTTTAAAGGAGCATTATGACTACCGTAGCAGCAGACTGAGTGAATGAGGGAGCACGCTTAGAAAATGCAGCCTCCTCTGCTCCTGCACCCCAAGCAACAGTAGCACACTCCAGTTGCTGATCTCTAGGCAAAACCACCTGCTGTCAGTCCTCTTTCCTTTCTAGCACTTAGATATCAAATTCCACAATAAGTTATTTTTAAAATAGAGGGTTTTTTTATTTCTCTTTTTGTCATATAACAGTAAAAATCCTTTTTGGATCATGCATAGCCCCACAGCTCACATAGTTGAAGGGACTAAGGTGGTTCACAAGCTCATTCTCAATCACCCGAGACTTCCTTGAAGACAAAACTCTGTCAGAATATGTGGCTGCCCATTGCCTGCCTCTGCTTCAGAGACAACCAGGGCTAGCAGCAAACATTTTCCCCAGACTCAGGTCCCTCACTGTCAGATGAAACCAGGACTCAGCTGTCAGGGAGGCTGAGAGGTTGTTTTAAAGGGTTTTTGTTTTCTAAAATGCTAAGGAGAACATAGAAAAAGTAGACTAGGCTGGAGTTATACCAGAAAGTACCCATATTCCAAGTCAACTGGTGTCTTAGCCCTATGAAGATAAGTCATATCTCCACCCCCAACCTTAAAGTAGTTTCCATAGAACTGAATCACATGTAACATCAAAAAGTGCATTAAAGTATATTTTATCTCCTTATTAATCATGATGTATGTGCATAAGATTCCTGATGCTAATTCTAAGCTCATCTACCTGCCAGGAATGTTAGGATTTTGTTATTTCATTGAGGATTTTGGAAACTAAAGAAACACTCAGCTATCCAAATGTCATATTAGAAAAAGAACATCACATAATATTTGTTCATAAGAGGTACATATAAAATTGTCTACTGGGGGCTGGAGAGATGGCTCAGTGGTTAAGAACACTGGTTGTTCTTGCAGAAGACCCGGGTTCGAATCCCAGCACCCACATGGCAGCTAACAACTGTCCATAACTCCAGTTCCAGGGGATCCGATGGCCTCTTCTGTCCTCCGCAGGCATTGCATGACATGGGTGCACTTACCTACATACAGTCAATTCATACATATACATTTAAAAAAATTGTTTACTAGGTAAGTAGACATCTCTTAAAAGTGTTTTTGCTGTGATAGAAAGCACAAAATTATCCTCTTCAGTATAGTAAATGGAAGTCTACTCATGTCAATGATTTTCATCTTTCTCGGTGGTGCAGCCTCTAGAAATCATAGTTCTCTGTTCAGGTTAATGGGCTCCATAGAGCTGCTCTAATCCCTTTCTGTCTGCTCTCACCAGCATGGTCTTCAGCAGGGAAGCCATCCAGAGACTTCTCGCCAGCAAGTGCCGATGCTACAGCAATGATGCTCCTGATGACATGGTCCTGGGCATGTGCTTCAGTGGGCTAGGAATCCCAGTGACACACAGCCCACTCTTTCATCAGGTGAGACAGTATTTCTATTCCTACCTCAGGGGAGAGTTCTTCTCACTCAGAGATTCTGTTTCTTTTCCTCTCATATTTTGGAAATGATCTTGAGAACTGCGCTGATGGGGATAGTCATAACATATCTTGTACTTTCAATGTACATCGTTGAAATGATGAACCTAATGATGTCAGGCAAAATGACTGACCTTGAGGCTAAAAAGATGGTTCAGTGGTTAAGAGCACTGACTGTTCTTCCAGAAGACTCAAGTTCAAATCCCAGCACTCACATGGTAGCTAACAACTGTCCATAACTCCAGTTCTGACTCCCTCCTCTGTCCTCCCTCTTCTGTCCTCTGTGAGCACTGCACAATACATTGCCTGCATGTATTTAGGTACACTTAAATACATGCAGGCAATAAAATAATAATTAAAAAATTTACTGACCTTGTAAAGAAACAAGAACCTGTGTCTTTATTGGTTTGTGGCCATCAGATTATATAATTTTATAGGCACCTCCATTTTTATCTTTGCTGGTTATCTGACTCTGTGCTTTTTCTCCAGTTACTCTTTTTAAAAAAATTTTATTTATTATTTTTATTTTATGTGTATGCATGTATTGCCTGCATGTAGGTAAGTGCATCTGTGTAGGTAAGTGCCTGCATGTAGGTAAGTGCCTGTGGGGGTCAGAAGAGGCTGTCAGATCCCCTGGGACTGGAGTTACGGACAGTCATTAGCTGCCATGTGGGTGCTGGGATTCGAACCTCGGTCTTCTGCAAGAACAACCAAAGCCATCTCTTGAGTTGTTAACCGCTGAGCCATCTCTCCAACCCCTCCAGTTACTCTTGAACTGAATGATTAAAATCCTTTGAATTTCAATGTGATATCTTAATTTATTTTCCAGAACAGGCAGGCTAGGATGGTATTTACCAGGGGTGATTGTGATCCTATGTTCATGATATGCATTTTAGGGTTGGAAAAAGGAATCCTTCCCATTAATTTTAGTTATATTTTAAGAACCTAGTCAATGAATATACTAAAAATACTAGCATATATATGTGAATTAAAAATGTCTTTAGACTTATACCCATCTAATATGTACATATATCCCTTTAAGAAATATGAAATTTTTGAGATTTGAAAATAGATGTATCTATATTTAAGTATCCTCCATTATATTGAAAATATAGTCTTTGTGTCTTTTTTAGTAAGCAGTAGCAAATTGTAGCATAACCAATATAGAAAATTGAGCATGACAGAATTACACTATAGAAAACCAACTTGAATAAGGCAAAGAAAGTGTTTGCATTGTCAACAAAGAGTCCATTTCTATGTCTGTGAAACCATATGGAGGGTAAAAATAGGTTTCTATTACAGGGAAACTCATGAAAAACCTTCCTGATACTAGTTGGAAGGCACATGACCATCCAGGCCTTGAGAGGTCTTTTTCTTTTAAGCCTATACACTGTATTATTATGACTTAGAAAAGTGAATTATTTTCTGTCTCTCCCACTCTTGCTGTATGTCATGATGTTTCATGCATGGAAAAGTAAAACCGATGGTAACTGATGGTATCTAAGGGTGGTAATTTATCAAAATTAATGTAACATGTCTTAGGTTTTTTTTTTTTTTTTTAATACTAGCTCTTTTCTTTTAGGGTAAAATATATTGGTAAATAAAATAAGGAAAAAAGAGAGAAGGAAACTAATCTACTCCTTATGTGAAAGTCTCTGAAGATAATTTATAAAAATTATTGAGTTATGTTGTCCCCACATTTGAAACTATTGAATTCTCTCATTCACAAAGTAAATTTTAAACCTTTCTGAAGTCATAAAATACGTTTATAACTTGTCCCCCAACTGGTAGTGCTTTATCTGCCAATTCATAAGCCTCTTCTAGAGAATGTGATCTGACTTGGATAGGGCTTTCCATTTGTAATGTTAAACACAGACAGAAATATGAGGAACTCTCACCTAAGATTCCTGGTGCCTGAGAGATGGAGAGATGACTTGGGAACATTCTCATTGGCAACATTGGCTGGGCCGCATGCTTTCTGTTTTGACTAGAGCATATTATTGTGAAATCATAGATTTAGAAGGGACTCCGAGGAATATGTAATAGTTCACCCCTTCCAAAATTAATTTTCACTAACGAGTATAACAGTATAAAATAGTTAGTGAATTCTCTGCATAAAATACAAATATCAAACGGAACAAAAATTTGTAAAAATAACCATTTCAGAGCTCTGTAAATCAAATAAAAACAATAGCTATATTTTTGAATATGAACAATGGAGTCTGAGTCCTTCTTGCCCAGAGTCACGCCCATCCCCCCCTGCTCCCTATCCTTTCAGCTTGCTTAGAAAGAACTTCATTGTACCAGTATGTGCCTCACTGTACTGAATAGGAGCTTTGATCCCAAAGGAGATGGATTAATATGGGAAAAAAAGATGAAAACATACAAATATGCTAGTTCAAATAGTCTTGATAGGAAACAAGCAAGAATGACCTGCAGCTTTACTGCTCTGAGATTGCCGGGAAGGTACGGTGAGGGTGTGTTGGCCAGAAGTATAATAAACTTAGTACTTTGGAAGTAGGAGATAAAGCTTCTGGCCCCCTGTATGTGTATCTGGGAGAGTTAAGGAAGTCCATTGGAAAACAAATCCAAGGCACATTTGGAAACTGGCAGAAACATTGAGTGTTCCAGCTTATACACAGGTGGAGGCTTTATGGTCTGGAGATGCTTCATCACAGCTGTCTAAATGAGAGCCGGACCATTGAGCTATTCATATATAGGGATTATTTACAGCTGGTCAGCCCCCAAACTAAAATTATGAACTAAAACTAGTAGTAGCTATACATTATAGAGAATGATTATATATAGTATAAGTCCTGGCAGGCAGATTACTCTTTAAAAAAAAAAAAATGTACTTTAAACAATCAGAATTGTACATTGATAAAATATATTCTCTAAAACTGCCAATTCTCATCATATAATTTTGTAACATACAAAGAGACCTAGTCAGGAAACAATACAGTGACTAGAACCTGAGTAGGAATGAACATTAGATTTGATAATGAAGATTCCAAAGCACTAATAACACTATACGTCGAGGGACATCTGGATACAGATGCTGGACCAGATAGGGCTTAACATATATAACAGAATATCTGAAATCTTGCTTGGGGGTTGGAGGGGGGTGGGGAGAGGGAGGGGAGTCTAAGTTTGATTAAAATATATAAAAAGAACAAACAGTAAAATATCAGAGAAAGAAAAAAAAATCTTTACAGACTATGTTCAGAGAATTAAAGGAAAACTTAGTAAACAGGGACTCATTAGAAAAATAGGAACTGGAGCTGGAGAGATGCTCAGTGGTTAAGAGCACTGGCTGCTCTTGCAGAGGACCCAGGTTCGAATCCCTGCACCCACATGGTGGCTAACAACCATCTGTAACTCCAGTTCCAGGGATCCAATGCCCTCTTCTGACCTCAATGGGCACTGCATGACATGGGTACATTTACATACTTATAGACAATACACTCATACACATAAAATAATAAATAAAATATTTTTAAAAATTGGAACTGCCGGGCATGGTGGCACATGCCTTTAATCCCAGCACTTGGGAGGCAGAGGCAGGTAGATCTCTGTGAGTTCACTGCCAGCCTGGTCTACATAGTGAGTTCCAGGCCAGCTGGGGCTACAGGGAAACCCTGTCTCAAAAAAGATTAAAAAAAAAAAAAATTGGAACTATGAAAAGAACCAAATAAAAAGTTTATAGCTTAAAAATCCAATAACTGAAAAAAATGTAATGATTTAACAGTATATTTGAGAGGGCAGAAGGAAAATAAAATCAATGAATTTGAAGATAGATCAACAGTAATTATGATATAGCATGAATTGTTCCAGTGTAATTTAATGGGAGTCCTAGAAAAAGAGGGTAGAGAAAATGAATCAATTAAAAATATTTTTTATTTAAAAAACGTGTGTTTCGCCTGCATGAATGTAAGGGTACCATGCACATGCAATGCCCACAGAGGCCAGAAGAGGGCATTGCATTCCCTGGAACTATAGTTACGGATGGTTGTTAGCCATCATGTTGGTGCTGGGATCCAAACCAAGGACTCTACTAGAGCAGTCAGTGCTCTTAACCACTGAACCATCTCTCCAGCCCCCAAATGAGGCAATTTTAAAAAATAAACATGAAACTTCCTAAAGATGGTGACAAACAAGAAACTCAGTAGATTCTAAATAGGATGCTTGTAAAGGGAACTCCACCTAGACATGCCACAGTTGAACTATTATTACAAGATCAAAACAAACTGACAATATGGAAGGCAACAAAACACCCAATCATAAAATGGAATCAAATATGATTATTGGATAATTTCTTATTAGAAACAAGAGGGGCTAGAACACAGAAAGAAAAAAGAAACAACTAAAATTCTATATCCAGTAAAAATTATCCTTCCAAATAAAGTGGAATGAACACATTGTGTTCTGAGGCTTTTCTTGGAAAGACATGAACAAATATCTACTTAGCCCAGATAGGACACCAGTGACAAATCAAGGGAATGTTTCCACAAAAGTCAAATTGGCAAGCTAGTGAGTTTATTGGGAGTAGGAGTGACAGGTAACGTACAGGAACGTGGGAGACTCAAAGGCAGCTCAAGGAAAAGTCCACCTCAGCCTGGGTGACAATTCATGAAAGCTGTGTCCTTGGAGCTCTCTATACAACTTGCAGGCAGCTCAAGCTAGTGGAGAGGCCCCTGTTCTTAGCAGTTGTTACTGCTTATATCACCATAGGGAGGGACCTTATGACTCCTGCCTGCTTCAGGAACTTCCTGGACTTATGAGTTGTTTACTTCCTAAGTCTTGTAGTTTTTTATACTTCCTGGGTTTTCACAAGCCTCCCTTCAGGATGGAGTGTTTCAAATCAGAGGAAATTGCTGTATAACACACTCTAAGATAAAAAGTATGATAATTCTTTACTAGTAGTCCTCTGTAAGAAAAAACTGAAT